CGACGGGTCCTGCAGAGAACGTAGGCAGAACCGGCGCAGCGTTTGTAGGTAGCTGAATTTTACTAACCACTTGCTGAGTGTCTTTAATTCAGGTGATGGGCTTGCATTTTTGTCCTAATGTTTTTCTTTCTCATATTATTTTCTACCTGAACTATTTTCTATAAACTTGCATAAGTCGCTGAAGCTAATTGTATTTAACTTCAATAACATGTTCACAGTTGTCGTATCTTTTAGGATATATTTTCTTACTTATTGAACGTTTCGCGGATTTGTTGCAAGCAATTTATTTCATACGCTCATTTAGTGAAGAGTTATGTCACCGTATCTGCATGCATTATTCGATGTAGTTTATTTCATCTTGTCATTTCAAGTGATTGACTGTTTCTTGATATCCCCGGTGTGGCTGCGCTTGATGCGCATGTTGACAAGGTGCCTACCTGTCTATTACCCACTACCTCGTCCATACTGGCTCTAGGAGACAGTTGGTCGTTGCTGGAGGGGACGGGGTGCACGGACCTTGTGACCGTGCTAGGCTCGAAGAGCGGTTCCATGCACTCAGTGTGGAGCGGACTAACGTCAAGCCACCACCTTGTGTGCACTTGAATACTCAAATACAGCGTGCTAGTGTGCCTGTGTGTGGGCCGGCTCCGTTGATGGAAAGTGGCTCCCATCCGCATGCCTCCCGGTCTTATTCCTTCGGGTTTACACTGGATATGGGGTGTGTGGTTGGAGCTTTGGGTAGTGCAGCTCAAGCCACCCATGGTCCCTCTGTAGGCGCAGGCGTCTTGTTGCTGGCCACAGTGACAGGCAAATCCGAAACCGGATGCCGCCAACCAATTTCCTGCGAGGATTCCTGTAGCTCCACTTGTGAATAAGCATGGCTTAGATCAGGTTTCCAGAACTTTTGTCCAGCCAATAAAGTTGCGTAAATGTCATCTATCCGTGGAATTGGATAATATTCCGTCATCGTCGTCGCTTGATTAACCGTCAGTTTGTAGTCGCCGCAAATGCGAACTGGGCCATCACACTTCTGTACAGGAACGATGGGTGCAGCCCAGGAGGAGTGGTGTACGGGTGAAGTTATTCTGTCTTTTGCACGCGCTCTAACTTTACATATGTACGGATTACGAAAGGTAGGCTCCGTGCCTTGTAAAATTTCGGTTGAGTCTGCGGACTGAAATTTAAGCAAAGTTTGAGAGCACGTTATTTCCCAGGTATGTTTGTAACGAAAATACTGGCAAAGGTTTTCAAGAATGTGGGTAAGTAAGAAATACAATCCACCTTCTTGACAGACTGTAATATTTCCGGCATATACTTTAACCAGTTCCTCCCGAGTAGCTTAGGTCCGTCTGGGTTAACAACGGTTGGAGTCATCATATTGTCACCATTATGTATGTTTACGTCATACATCCAAAATATCGAGTATTTCCCCAGTGTGTGATCGTAATTTAGACTGAGTCGGAGTCATAACGAGGTATGGCAAAGTTGGATTGTTGATCAATGTAGATGAGACCCCGGTATCGACCTCCAGACGTACTGGCCGGTCTTTATTGTTTAAATCAACAGTGTACTGGCGTATTCCGATTGCGTGCCATGTGGTTGTGGGCAAAATTAGATAGAATATGGGATCAGCAGTGTTTCCCATAGTTCGAACAGTACCCAGGGCAGGGCGGGGTATCGGTCGTTGAAGCACAGTCGAACGACATATGCGTGCAATATGTGCAACCTAACAGCACTTATGACTAGTAGACTGTTAGTGTCTGTAATCAATAACCTTTTCATGCTTCTCGTCGCATCTGTAGCATGCAAAGGGACATATGTTGGTGTGTGATAGTCGAGATTTAACTGCATGGACGGCATTTGAAGGAGAATCGCTCCGATACTGAATTAATTGTTGCACATTTTCCCTTTGTCTGACTAGTGAGCAAGTTGTTTCCCAAGTGAATTTATTCTCCTCTTCTGACAGCAGGCGTTCTCTAGCCTTATCGTCTCGAATTCCAACCAAAAGGCATTGCACCGTCATCGACTCTTCGAATTTCGTTGCGGGAATTTTATTGTAACAGCAGTTGAGAATTACTGTTGTGTACGACTGATGAATTCATTAACACTCCTCTTTTCCCTGTCGTAAATGAGAAAAACTTAGGCACGCAGGAAAAACATGTTGCCGCGGCCTCCAAAAGCCATGCAGAGCGTTACAGCAGTCCACCAGGGATGTGCTTTCGTACAAATGCAACGCGTCAAAATGCCGTCGATTTCTGCACCGTGTTGTCTCAGTAGTTTGATAGATTGGGTTTCACTAAGTTTGATGTGGGGGTGTGTAATTGGGAAAAGCGCGTGAGTAACTATGACTCTTTAAATATTCGGTCAAAGGTGCCTATTGCTATGCCAGCGGTTCCGTTTGTTGGTATATGCTGCTAGGCTTCATGAGTGGTCCGTTTGGGTCACCGCCTTTGTCGGGAAGGTCGGGGATAGTAGTTACAAGTCCTGGGCGCCTCCACGTGGCGACCGCTGGATAGGAGATGGGCTTGCTCATTTCTGAACAAAGATCCAGGACAATGCACGTAGGGTTAACCACCCTGCTTCGGTCAATTCGCGGTTACTAAACCTAACATGGTCAAATTCAGACCAAGACTCTAGCTTGGTTCAACCCCACAGCGATCATGCCGTTGTTGTCCCCTCTTTGGTTCCGGTGGCGTCCGGAAGGAGAGAGCCATTGGGTGTGGAACGTGAGGTCGATTTGGATGCTGAAATGGCAATGGAAGATCAGATGGTTGATGGTCATAGCATTTCCGGAGATGCTGTTGACGTCCAGGACGAATATGTCTGCTTTTGTGGTGCAGCCTTCGGTTCCAAGGATGGGTTAGGCCAACATAAGAGGCACAGGCATCCCGTGGAGCTCAATGAGGAGAGGTTACGTTTGGTGCCAATGTGAAGAGATTGGTCCGAGAAAGAGGCCTTAGGGTAGTTTTCGCAAGCAAGCCAGTTTCTTCCGGAGTGCGCAAACAAGGTGGAAGTCTACTATCGGCTCATTGCTCAATTTCCTGGACGAAGTGTCGAAGGCATCAAGAAGCAGTTGATGAAGATGCGCTGTCGGGGCGGAGGCCTAGTTCGGAGTGTTTGCTTTGGGACTCACTGATGGTGGTCCGTGTTCCTCCGATAGTGCATCTTGAGATTGGTGTGGAGTTCACGGAATGTGACTTGGTGTCCGATGGGACGACCACTAACCGGGATCCAGATCAGAACGAAGCAGCCCATGAGCCAAAACTCTTGCAGTTTTCCTATGAGGAACAGTATCGTTCATTCCTGGAGGGTCTTTCGCGTGATTCTGACCCAGACGGATTGTTCGGTGAGTCGGTTGACCGAATACCGCCGGATGGAAAGGAGGGTGTCTATCCCAAGGTGACCAAGGAAGCGATCAAATCGACGATGGGAGAAGAGGGTGCCTCTCCTAAGGCTGGTCTCAAGATTGCCAAATGGTCTCTCGAAATACTCGTCCTTAGCATTTTGGAATTAAGTGCTTTTCGCAAGGGAAAGACCCAGCTGCTCACGTGCATCAGCATGCAAAACAGCTCCCAAACGGTACGCTCAAAAAGTGCAGGAAGGGTGCGTCTGTGCTAGATTACCGAGAATTTCATCCTAGAAAAGTAAAACAGTCGGTCCCTTCAACCATTTCGTTAAGGCAGAGAGAAGACAGAGGTTGCGATATGTCAACATTTCGATTGTTCTCTTCAGTCGCAAACACAATACGAGAAGAAATACACTAGGGATTATATACATAGAAAAATAAGCATCACCAATCAAAATGTCATAGTCAAGACCATGGCAACCGAATTGATTGACTCAAGAATTTTTGTGCACATAGCACAGGTGGATAAGCTTTAATTAACAATGCCTCACTAATTGCTAGCACTGTCGGGTTTTCGTTACGTAATAACACTTTGAACCCTGTCTCGGGGTTCACGTAATGACGGGTTGTCATGAGGTGCTTGGTGATAGACGATGCCGGGCTCCGATTGGTTCTCAGATTCGTCCCATGTCATTGCGTAATCACTTGTCCCAACCACTTCGGCAAGCGTCCAGCTACCCTCTGAGCTAACTGACGGTTTGTTCTGCCTATGTAAATGTCACCGCAACCGCAGGTGAACTGATAAACAACATGAGAGGCCGAACTACCCGACGAGATGTTCTGACGGTTATGAAGAAGAAGTGCTCGCGTGGTATGCCTGAGTCGCAACTGGGCTGTCGTGTAGGTTCGCGTTAGGGCGGACCGGAGCTTGCGTCCGATACCATTTGCTACATGGTCCCTCTTGAACGGCAAAAACAAATAAACATCCCTTTTCTCAGCCGTCAACACCGGTGTTTTCACGCTGGAAGGTCCGCTGTGTACCTGAATAAACTTCTCCGGATATCCATTAGAAATTGAGGCCTTGCGTAGAAATTCTTCTTCAGCTTGTAACGTTTCGGGGATGCAAATACGTCTAGCCCGGTGGAAGAGAATTCTCACTAAGCCGCGTTTGTATGCGATGCGGGGCGAAGCTTGAAAATGAAGGTACTGTCAGGTCCAAGTCGATTTGCGGTGAACAGTGCGCTGCAACGTACCTTCAGCATGCCTCCTAATTAGTATATCCAAAAACGGCAGGCACTCAATGAGCTACCGTTAGTTTGTCGTTTAAAATTTGAGGACTTTTCCGCTGGAGTTCTCCGTCGCACGAGAGCAAACTGCGCAGTCTGCAGGGTTCTCTTGTTAAAGCCACTAATGCTCCCTATCCTACCGATTGCTTGAAGCACGTATACAATTTCTCCTCTGCTCAGTTCACGCGCACTCAATTGGAAGTTCTCTCGCTTGAAATGAAATACCGACTGCCGCCAAAAGCGCTAGACAAGGTCACCACGCAGGCGCATTTTGAGTATCTGAATGAACAGCACAGTGACCTCACGCCAAGATCGACAGAAGATGTTGGTTGGTTTCGGGCGAAATTGGTAGGTATTGTGAACCAGTTCCTGTGTGTGCCGATAAGTCAGAAGTGCTGTCTGCAATCTGAACACTATACGGCGATCAAGGAGTTGAAACAAGTGAAGCACGTAATGTTCCTGCAGCCGGATAAAGAATCGGGCATTGTTGTAATGAACAGGCTTGACTACATCTCAAAGATGGAATCCATTCTGGGAGACACTCGGAAGTTCCAGCTAGATAATACACCGGAAAACAACATCCTGGTGGAGAAGCATGTGGCAAGGAAGTTCCAGATCCTCCTGCTACATGGTTACATCAATGAGCCACAGTACAGACACTTAAAACCGACCGGGACACAGACACCTAGAATGAGAGGCGCTCCCAAGTTACACAAAGCAAGGTTTCCGCTACGTCCGATTATGTGCAGGAACAATTCACCTTATCACAATGTCGCGCGGTGGCTGGCCAAACTATTAGATCCGGTGCGGAAACTCCTCGATACGTATTGCCTGAAAGAATGTTTTGAACTGACGGAGACACTGGAACAATTGTCACTGAGTGCAGAGCTTATGTATTCAATAGATGTGGACTACTTATTCACAAATGTGCCTTTACGTGAGACGGTTGATAACTTATGTGATTTTATCCTGAGTCAGAAGATGTCTGTTGGTCTGCCAGTGGAGTATTTAAAGGATATGGTTCTATTGTGCACCGAAAACATACGGTTTGAATTTGAGGGGACGGCATACAAACAGATCGACGGGGTCGCTATGTGCAGTCCTCTGGGACCAGTTTTAGCCGACATCTTCCTCGGCCTGATAAAAAGACAAGTTGCTGCCAGCAGTGGTGAAGCGAAATTGTACAGACGACATGTGGATGACATTTTAGTCTTCACCAGCGGAGAACATTTTAACCGGCTGCTGACCATCCTAAATTCGATTCACCCTAATCTGTCGGTATCCCATGAAGTGGAACAACACCATTGCCTGGCGTTTTCGGATATACTCATTAGGAGACATGCTGAAGGTACGTTGCAGCGCACTGTTCACCGCAAATCGACTTGGACCTGACAGTACCTTCATTTTCAAGCTTCGCCCCGCATCGCATACAAACGCGGCTTAGTGAGAATTCTCTTCCACCGGGCTAGACGTATTTGCATCCCCGAAACGTTACAAGCTGAAGAAGAATTTCTACGCAAGGCCTCAATTTCTAATGGATATCCGGAGAAGTTTATTCAGGTACACAGCGGACCTTCCAGCGTGAAAACACCGGTGTTGACGGCTGAGAAAAGGGATGTTTATTTGTTTTTGCCGTTCAAGAGGGACCATGTAGCAAATGGTATCGGACGCAAGCTCCGGTCCGCCCTAACGCGAACCTACACGACAGCCCAGTTGCGACTCAGGCATACCACGCGAGCACTTCTTCTTCATAACCGTCAGAACATCTCGTCGGGTAGTTCGGCCTCTCATGTTGTTTATCAGTTCACCTGCGGTTGCGGTGACATTTACATAGGCAGAACAAACCGTCAGTTAGCTCAGAGGGTAGCTGGACGCTTGCCGAAGTGGTTGGGACAAGTGATTACGCAATGACATGGGACGAATCTGAGAACCAATCGGAGCCCGGCACCGTCTATCACCAAGCACCTCATGACAACCCGTCATTACGTGAACCCCGAGACAGGGTTCAAAGTGTTATTACGTAACGAAAACCCGACAGTGCTAGCAATTAGTGAGGCATTGTTAATTAAAGCTTATCCACCTGTGCTATGTGCACAGAAATTCTTGAGTCAATCAATTCGGTTGCCATGGTCTTGACTATGACATTTTGATTGGTGATGCTTATTTTTCCATGTATGTGTGTTTCTGCTCGTATTGTGTTTGCGACTGAAGAGAACAATCGAAATGTTGACATATCGCAACCTCTGTCTTCTCTCTGCCTTAACGAAATTTCTTTCCACTCATATGGCATCCCCCGAGGCAACAGAGAATCTGTACTGCTAGTGGCAGGCGGGCGATCCGAAAGGCCAACTATGCAGCAATCCAGAAACTCTGGATGACGTAACGTAAAGATGCTGCACAGGCTATCCTGGATGGTAGTTGGCTGAGCGTATACAAATCACAACGCATGGGGTTCGATCAGACGATGATTATTGGAGGACTGTATTTGGTGTGCAAAGTGCGGTGGATGAGAGACTAGTTCCCAGAGAGGAAGGCCATGATTATTGTCTGATTGAGCCATTGTCTGCGGAAGATGTCGATCGTGCCATGCGGAATGCCGGAAGTACGGTTCCAGGACTAGATAAGGTGTCGGTGGCGGACTTCAAATCCTTGGAATTGACGGTTATTGCACAGTTGTTCAATCTTATGATGGTGCTTGAATGCCATACTGCATCTCTTGCGACAGCACGGCTGACGTTGGTGCCCAAGGCGTCGGTCCCCAGCACGCCATCAGATTATCGCCCGGTCGCAGTTTCTTCGATTCTGCTGCGGGCCTTACACAAAGTTTTGGCAAAAAGACGGAGGTCGCGTTTGACGCTGTCTTCATTTCAAGTCGAGTTTCAAAAGCGGGATGGGTGTCTTGAGGCCTCATATGTCCTACAGTGCGTATTGAGAAGGGTTCAGTTCGACTGCCTGAATGCGGCAAACGCCAAAGCGTTCGACACCGTGTCAGGTGACAATATCATACGAGCCGCAGCAGCACATCGAGTCCCGCCAGAGCTTCAGCTTTATTTGCGTTCGTTATACACTCCTCAAAGTGGCTTCTTGGCAACGAAGTGTTGGATTGTCACAGAAGTGTGAGGCATGGGGATCCACTGTGTTCTCTCTTTTTCATCATGGTCATGGACAAGGTGATTGCTGCTACCCTGCGTAATCGGGGGTGTGCGGCTGTGTGGCGAAGAGATGTGTGCTTTAGCATACGCGGATGACCTTGTGTTGTTCGCTTCTTCACAAGAGGCGTTGTCTGTGAAGCTGGTGACTTTGCAGCAGGCTCCTTCAACAGCAGGTATGTCGTTGAACGTCTCAAAGTGTCGGGCCATTACGGTCCAAAAGTCCGACAAACAGAAGTGCGTCGTCCTGGTGCCCCAAGCTTACCCCCTGGTGGGGGTGAGATGAGACCGGTTGCGGTGGCGGAGGAAATCCGTTGCCTTGGCTTGCGTTTCAACTGGAAGGGGAGATGCCAGGTAAAAAGCACGGTTGTTCTTGCTGGGTGGCTGAACGAGATCTCTCGTGCCCCTTTGAAACCGCAACAACGTCTGGATATGGTGCATGACTTCGTATTTCCCAAATTGCTGCGTGAGTTGGTTCTGGGGAACGCTCATCGGAATACCATGCGGTAGATGGATAAGATGGTGCCAGCCAAAGTGCGGGAGTGGATGTGTTAACCGAAAGATGTATCGCTAATTTTCTTTTACAAGAGTCGGGGGCTGGGGGTCTCGGCTTGCTGTCGTGGAGCAGTGTTGTTCCTTTTGCTCAAAGTGCCAAGT